AATTTGGTGTTTACAGTAAATAATGATCTAAGCTAGAAAACTAAGCATCTGTAGCAAATTGTTGGACATATACAATGTTATATAAAACAAATATATATACCGTTTATTAAGAGAATTTCTTTTCGGCACAAATCTTTAACTTGTATGTCTAAATCAATATTCACTACGGTTTCTTAAAAAAGTGATTGGTCGTCTTTCTTTGCACTAAATACGTTGTATGAACGTTCTTTTGTCCAACAAAAACTGTTTCAATTGCATTAGAAGGTGATTAGGTAAATTTACATAAGAATTACATAAATGTACCCAAAATTTTTTTGTAAATTTCTAACATTAATTTACATAAAAATTAGCTATTAAATTATTATAATTAATTACTAAAATTATTAAAAGACGTGTACTTTATTTTTTCAATAAATAAGTTAAAAAGAAAATGTCAAAAATATGACATATGGCAAAATCTTAAATTTGTTTATAAGATGTACATGGTCAATATTTAATTACTATAACATTAAATATATACAAACTTAAATTAATTTTGATTTTTGAAAAATGTGACACAAGTCAAAAAATTAATTGTCACATGACAGTCTCTTATATCTTTGGTTTTGAATAATCTTAAAATATTATATAAGATTATGTTTGAAGAGTATTAATAATAAACCGAAAACCCCGAGACCAAATCCAGATTTGAACAGCCAAGAAGAAATTATAAAAACAAGTGGTTTGAAATTTGATATCTACCTAAGCCAATGAAGTACATGGCATCATTTACATGCTTATTCGCAGCTCCATCTCCGATTTTCGCCCTAATAATTTGTTTTGTTCTCTTGAAACAATTTATTTGATCATCAAACGTCAACCTTTGAATCTGCTCCCCCAAAATAACAAACAACATCAAAGATAATTCTAAAAAGAATATTGGAAACGATAAGAAACGAAAAAAAATTATGATATAATGATATATGAAAAAAACAAAAGCTAACAGTATTACAAAGTAAAGGCCGGTTTCGTTGAGAATTCCAGCTCCTCCAGATGCATAATTGATACCGCTAAGAAATGCGTCGTCGTTTTGTGATAACGATAAATATGGTGGTGGTGATGCAATCCCAAGCTTCGTAGCTACATATAATTGTTTTTGGATCTTAGAGTTAATAAAGAAAATAAGAAATATTTAAAACTTGAATTACAAGGATAATTAAAACACTAATGAGATGTTTTAAAAAAAACTAAAACAATAATGATACTTTTCTATTGAACAAAATAAACCAATATAGAATTTATCAGAGTAGCCAAATCGAAATAAATTAGTTAGAATTTAGAAACAAAAAAAAAATACTTCGAAATAAATATATCTAAAATATATTTGATTCAATTGAAAATATTTAGCTATTTTTATTTTTATTCAAAATTATGTTGAACCGAATTTATATGCATATGTATTAGGTCTATATTTTGCAAAAAAAAAAGAAGAAGAAAGTATTAGGTCTATAAAGAAAGGGAGAGAATGTACATATGATATCGCCGATGGTCCGGCCATTAGTGAATCTTCCGGTAGCCTTACCACCTGAGAAATCAATTCCGTACCAAGGAAAGTCTGATCTTGCTAGCGAATATTGCAAATAATTGTTGTTACCAACTTCAGTTAACGAGTCACCGAATATATAGGTCACAAGCGACGGCGCTGAGGCTGATTGTGCGGCTACATAGCCGGAGATGACCGCGGCGAGAGCCAGCCTCAAGATCACCATTTTGTTTTTGTGTTAATTTCACTCTCTTTTGTGTGTTTCTAAATCTCTAATTTGGACAGAATATATGTTAACGAGTGTAGAAAATATATATAGTGACGATGGGTTCATTTTTATTTGTTTATTATATGAATATATTGGTCATGCCCATCAGAGCAAGTTTGTACATGTTAGGTGATTATTTTCTTAACTATAGAAGTTGCCTCATGTTTTTACATACATCTTTTTCTTGTTCTAGAAAGATGAATTTTCCAGAGAAACATCATGGTTGGGAAAAGAAGTCAGAAGATACGTACATCTACTTTAGGTACTCCCAACGTTTTGAGAACAATTTCTCGCAACATCTACGTAAGTACTGGTGCACATTTTAATATTGTGCTAAAAACTGTTCGATTAGACCTGCATTTAAACCGATTGATTCGGTTTTGTTTTGTAGAAATCTTTATAGAGGTGAGTAATCCGGTTTAGGGTTTGGTTTTAGTTTTAAAGAAATTAAAATCATCTAAAACGATTTAGTTTTGGTATGGCTTGATGCAATATTTTGTTTTTGGTAGAAGGATAAATTGTATTCAAAATAAATAAAAAAGCTAATGTTCATATGAAAAATAGTATGTATGGAATTAAGAGAGAGTATGACAACATTATTTTGATTACTTTATAAAGTACGTATGGGGTTCTTGGAAGTTATGATTTGGTTGTTTAGAAATGAAATTGACATTATAGTTGGCCAACTGACGTCATAAGAAGTCAATTTGTGGTTAGATTTTGTTTGACTTATTATAACTCCTTTTTTATTTACTACTTACGTTAAGAAACCGAAATTCATCATGATACAAGTAAAAACAACCCGAATGGGTTATTTTGTTTAACGTTAGAGTGTGCCTATGGTGAGGTGGTGGGGGAGGAGAAAAGTCCTCATTGAAGAATCTAACGTCGAATGGAAAGCTAATCCTAAAAATATGAGGCTGAATCC